GTAAGTCCAAGAAATTACTTATCTAATTCAAATGGGAAAAAAAACTTCCTTTCAGAATATTCTAACCGTATCTTGCACATAAAATATCGCCAAACAGAATACAGAGCATACAGCTGATAACCTACAGAAAGGTAAAACAATATAATAGTGTAATACAGCTAAAATAAGTTGCTGTGCTGTGCACTAAACTCAATTGCTCTCAATAGATGGAGTCTTGGATATCGTTTCAGTGTGCCTCCCTTTGGATCATTGGGGGGTTGGTTCAGGGTTCCCTCTCAGATTTTGGATGATGACACCACAGTATGGAAATCCAGACTCAAGATATATCAGAAAATATAAACTGCTTTATTCTATGTTTATCAAAAAATGAAATAACATACAAGAACAATGGTCCTATGTGTTTCATCTCGCAAAAAACCTCTTCGGGGACACGATACTAGTAAAAATATAATAAAATCAATCCTAAAGCGGTATATACAATCCCCCCAAGTTCTTCATACTATATGGCCATCCTCCTATCTAATTGGTGGCCCTGTGGGTGTTTCCAATGATATTCAGCTGTTTTGGCTTGTCCAAAATCAATTTTTCAGAGTACTTCTTGCTTGATTGCCATCATTTTCGGTGCGCCACTGCCTGTAGTTGCGTGCATTCCAATTGGTGGCCCTCATGCCCCAATTTTAAGTGGTCCCCAGGGTTACAATGTACAGAAAAAAAAATTCTTTTTTTCGAATTATGGTAATTGCCATTTCCATTTTACACTGGCAGGTTAAACCACATATCTACTACAATTTCAATATCACAACCTTAGGTAGTAGATGCTACATGAGTTTAGATTGTATGTGATATATATGCAGGATGTGTAATTTGTTCCTCTACCATCAATGCAGATAAGTGAGGCTTTATGGATTAAATCTAATTTTGCTAAGCAAAAGTAAAAGAGAGTATAAACAATGTTGCTGGTGAAGGGGATAAAGCACACAAAATACTTGATTTCTTCTCAGCCACCATGACACCTGATGGTCGTATTTCATATCTATTAACCCCTTAAGGACCAAACTTCTGGAATAAAAGGGAATCATGACATGTCACACATGTCATGTGTCCTTAAGGGGTTAAGGAAGTATTGTCTGTTTTTCTAAGTAGAGCAAACAATAATTTATAGTGACCGATTTCCTTTAATTCCCAGTATATTTCTTTCAGGTATGTCTGTCAGGAGAAGGTGATATGGAAAGAGGTGACAAGAACAGAAATACATGCAGCAAGGCTATGAAGAAATCTTTTAATAACAGAACCAAGGAGTCTAACTCTGAAAAATCAAGCATTTTTTCAGATTCCTATATGTTATCAAAAGCGACCGTAAACATAAACCTCAAACCTTTCTCGTGTTCTGAATGTGGAAAATGTTTTAGGGGTCACTCCAATCTTATGAAACATCAGAGAACTCACACAGGAGAGAAACCATTCTCATGTTCTGAATGTGGAAAATGTTTTGGGCAACATTCACATCTTGTTGCACATCAGCTTACTCACACAGGACAGAAACCGTTCTCATGTACTGAATGTGGGAAATGTTTTGCCAGTAAAGCAGGGTTTGTCAGTCATCAGATAACTCACACAGGAGAGAATCCCTTCTCATGTACTGAATGTGGAAAATGTTTAGTCTCTAAAGCAGGGCTTGTCCATCATCAGAGAATTCACACAGGAGTGAAACCGTTCTCATGTTCTGAATGTGGGAAATGTTTTGCTAGTAAAGCAGAGCTTGTCAGTCATCAGAGAACTCACACAGGAGAGAACTCTTTCTCATGTACTGAATGTGGAAAATGTTTTAGGAATCACTATAGTCTTGTTATACATCAGAGAACTCACACAGGAGAGGAACCGTTCTCATGTTCTGAATGTGGAAAATGTTTTAGGTATCACAATAGTCTTGTAATACATCAGAGAACTCACACAGGAGAGAAACCATTCTCATGTTCTGAATGTGGAAAATGTTTTAGCTGTCACTCAGGTCTTGTTAGACATCAGAGAACTCACACAGGAGAGAAACCGTTCATATGTTCTGAATGTGGAAAATGTTTTATTGCTAAAGCTGAGCTTGTCCATCATCAGAGATCTCACACGGGAGAGAAACCGTTCTCATGTTCTGAATGTGGAAAATGTTTTGTCTCTAAAGCAGGGTGTGTCCGTCATCAGAGAACTCACACAGGAGTGAAACCATTTCCATGTTCTGAATGTGGGAAATGTTTTGCTAGTAAAGCAGAGCTTGTCCGTCATCAGAGATCTCACACAGGAGAGAAACCTTTCCCGTGTTCCTTATGTGGAAAATGTTTTTGGCAAAATTCAAATCTTGTCCGTCATCAGAGATCTCACACAGGAGAGAAACCGTTCTCATGTTCTGAATGTGGAAAATGTTTTGCCGCTAAAGCAGACCTTGTCTGTCATCAGAGATCTCACACAGGAGAGAAACCGTTCCCATGTTCTGAGTGTGGAAAATGTTTTAGTCAACATTCAAAACTTGTGAGGCATCAGATAACTCATACAGGATAAAGCTGTTTTCATGTTCTAAATGTGGAAAATGTTTTAGCTATCACTCAACTCTTATTACACATCAGAGAACTCACACAGGAGATAAACCATTCTCATGTACTGAATGTGGAAAATGTTTTGTCAATAAAGCAGAGCTTGTCCATCATCAGAGAACTCACACAGGAGAGAAACCATTCTCATGTTCTGAATGCGGAAAATGTTTTTCCATTAAACATTATCTTGATAGGCATCAGAGATCTCACACAGGTGATGAGTCTCTACAATTTTATAATGCATCTATGGATTAACATGGGAATAAAATATCTTGTAGTGTGAAATTTTCTCATGTTGACACAATAAATAGTAACTTTGATAGTAGTGTGACACCCCCATGCTATTGTCCGTAGGTGCCTAACCTGCACCGCTAACTCTGCTCCCCTCGGCAGCTGGCTCACTGGCAACTCAGGATACATTGTGGTTGTATATCTTGGCTGTTACAGAGTGAAGGGCTAGTTCCCCCAACCTCTATGTTAAAACAGACTTCAAGCAAAGGTTATGTTTACATCTAATTCTCTAGAGGTTTTTTTTTTTTAGGGCATGCAATGCAGCTGAGACTAAAATAAATATACCAATCAGACATTCATACTTTGGAGTCAAAGAGCCTTCTGGAAAATATTTAATGAGCTTGAAAATAACTGTGGTGTTGTAGGATTTTTTTTCTTTGTAATATTATTATTATCATTCTTGTATTAGTTGCAAATTGCATAATTTCAGACTTCTTTCATACACAGGAACTGAGAGGCTCTACCTAGACATCTAATATTTAATTATAGGACATATGTCCGTTGTCTATCAATGGTCAACAATATGGTTCTTGTTCAGAAGACTTAATTGTATTAAGAAGAGCCTCTTTCTGAATGCATTTATTTAAACATGTATAGTAAAGTCCTTTGTTTATATTATATTTTACCCCTCTCCCAAGTATAACCATTTTCATAACGTAAGACTTTAATCATAGATTGGACAGAATAGTGATTAAGCCACAACCCTTTTTACACTTCTTTTAAATAATCAAATAGCTAGATATTCACCACCATCACTTAACATCAAAAATGCTTATTAAAATGGATATTAACTTGATAGTTCATACATATTGCTGCATTGGTCCAGATGTGTGCAAATGTTTTTTTGTTATTTTCGGATTGGCATGTATTGTTTGAATAAATATCAATTTTAAAGCTGCAAAACAATGTGATTTTATTATTGGAACTCTGATGTGACAAACACACATCTCAGGATCAACTCATTTCCTAAATTTATCGAAAAAATTAGATTAAGTAGATGTTGCATGATGTAGCACGCACGGTTCCCCTGGAAGTGAGGTGCCGAGGCAGCTAGGGAGCAGTGTGGGCTGTGTCTATTGAAAGACTGCAAAATTATTGCTGGGAGGCAAGGCTGAAAGCGAACAAGAGGACTATAAGAGAAGATGAAGGTCAGTTTCCAGATGTCAATTGTGGGTGAGTCGTCTTAATAGCAGCTGCATCCCTCCTAAGGGAAACTTCCAACTCGAGTGCCTGGTGCAAATAAGCAATACTAACTATAGCAATGTGGAGTTTCCTCTACTAAGATAAACTTTGACTCATCTATACTACAGTCAGAGCCTTTAACCCCTTAAGGACACATGACATGTGTGACATTTCATGATTCCCTTTTATTCCAGAAGATTGGTCCTTAAGGGGATAAGGAGCTTCTAAGGAATTCCAGCATTGTTCCAGCAGTGTTAACTGTATTTCAATTCCCTTCCCATTTTATAAAAGAGCAACATATAAAGAGCAAGAAAATATAGGGGAAAAAAAATATGAGTAAAAAAATCCTAGTTTGATTCTAATCATCAGCTACAAAATTATCATACAGACAAATGACTGTGGTTATTTGTGGTTATAAAATAAGACCCATAAGCAGTTATTATAGCTGATTTCTTAAAGAGACAAAAGACATAAGTAAATATAAAGAGAAACCAAATTAATAATGACAGAAGATTGAAAAGAAAAGTACAAGAATAAAAGGAATAAATAGGGCTAAAATAAAAGAAACAAGTAAAAAAGAGGAGAAAAAGAAGGGAGAAACAGTAAAGGACAAAGATAAAAGATGAAGAAACAACTGCAAAGAAAGAAAGGGTAAAAGGGGACAAAGGAAAAACAATACTAACAGATACAAATAGGATAAAAGAAGGGAAAGGGGAAAATAAAAGGGGAGGTAGTAGAAAAAAAAGCAGGATAGAAGAACAAAAGAAAGAAAAAGGGAAAATAATATGAAATACTACACAAATATGTACAAAAGTTCAAGTGTTAAAGTATCAGTACCAAGGATGTACATGATAACAAAGGCCCGATTTTCTCCACAGTGTTCAATAAATCATACGTTCACATCATAACGATTTTACGCCAACACTGGTCTATTCTTAAACTGTATCCATGGCTAGTTTAGTATTTCCAACTATCCCAGGGTAACATTCAGGAAAAGCAAAAATATCCTAGCACCATCTAAATACACGTCTAATGTGAACACAAGACATGACCATAATTCCTATATAGATAACTACAAATGTGGGAACACTAGATGTTAAACTTGCAAGTATTTTTGCCATGGGGTGACACAGTTTGGACCCACATTGGGGGAGGAGTAATTGAAGGTCCAGCAAAGAATAAGTTGCAATTCCCCCTTCGTAGTTTATCTACTTACCTGTACCTGTGGGCTACACTGTGTGGGTCAAACCACTAAACCGCTAAAGGTCAGATTCAGGGAGCACCAGTTAGCAATTTTACATTGTTGTGGCTGTGACTTAAATATGAATATAACAAGGTGTGAAACTCGCAGACCGTGAGGGAACGAGTGGCGCCTGCTTCCCCTGGATGGCCACCGT